CTGCCCGAAGAGTTTGTTGTCACATATTCATGTCTGATTTCCAACATGCGAAGCCACATCAACACATTGAAAATTGTTTTGAAACTCAGGCCACTCATGGAAAAGGTTCGCGCTTTGCTCGAACGTTGGCCCGTGCCATGCTCCGTCAGGTTGTGAAGTTTACTGGCACCTGGATGGCACGAATTCAAGACCCAGTGCGTTGCAGTACATGTCTTGTCCTTCTCAAAGACTAAGAGTTGTGTTTTGTGATGTAAGGTGCAAAAGTGTCCGAGCCGGAGGATCTGGGCCCGTTTCTGGAAGAGGAATCGGAAGAAGAGGAAAAGGAGAATGATGGAGAAGTCCAGCCGGACACGTCGGTGGGTGGTAATGCCGATGAGGCAAGCGCGGCAAATAAACCGGCGGAGGCTGAGCCGGAGAAGGAGAAGGAAAAAGAGGAGAATCCTGGCAGTGATGCCAAGGTTGCGGAGGTGGATCTGGTTGGCGAGGGGAAGGATGGCGAAAAGAAGGATGCTGCAGCAGCAGAAGCTGCCGGGAGCAACCCCAAGAAGAGCCCGCCTGGAAGCATGGCAGCCATTCAGGATGAGGATAAGGATAAGAAGGACGATGGTGATGCCTGGAAAAAAAAGAGAATCAGGGTTGGTGGGGGCATGACAGCCGCTGGAGTGGTGGAGGTGGCAACTGGTCATGGAAGAACTGGTACCCCCCAGACCATCCGATCCATAAGAGGCGCCACGACTTGGGCTGGTGCCGTCTGTGCTATGTAAAGTGCCGCAAGGTGATCTGTCATGCTCATACTTGCTATGGAAAACTCATGTTTCATGGTTTTCATATTGATTGGTTTGTATGTGCAGGACGATGGAAGTTGCCTCAACAAAGAGTGCCAGCTCAACAAGGAGGAGGAATGGTGGGCCCAGCACGAGTATGACAATGAGAAGGAGAAAGAGGAGCCGCAGCCCAAAAAAAGGAGGGTGTTGAAGAAGAAAGCCAAGGTTGAGTTGCAGCAATGAAATGTGTCAGTATGATGGTTGCATATTCAGTGAATAATGTTACACGAATATTGTGCCACAGGCCAAAGAGAGCCCGATGCCGTACTTGTGGAGCCGCCCAACCCTGCTGCTTGTCTGCTAAGTGTTTTGCGCAGTTGCATTGTGGTCAGGTTGCTTGTGTGCACACATTCCATTAGTGTATTTTGTTCTTATTGTGGATACTCTGACATGCTTATCCAATGCTTATCCAAGATGGGTGGAAAGAAGCGCCCACCTGGATCCGGAGGAGGTCGGCCAGCAGCTGCAGCCCTTCGCAGCTTGAAGACACCCGCTGTGCGCTAAGTGTCACCAGACCCGAGAACAGGATTTGAAGGCTTCCTGGAAAATATGAGTAACCGCTGAGTGCCAGGGAGTGTGTGCGTCAACAAGTTGTCAACTACTAACTACTTCACAGTCAGGAGATGAGTAGTAGAGAATATGTTTGTGAAAGTGGCATGGTGTTAGTCTTATTGCAATCAGCGTTGCAGCTTCCTGTTTATTCTCCACTAGAAAGCTTGACATGGGATTATTGCGTTGCATGGTATATTGAATATTGAAAAGAGACTAAGGTGTCTGGCTGAAATATGCCAAATCAATGAAGAAGCCGGCTGAAACAAGTCGGGGTGGAGGCGGGTCACTCTGGCTGAAACATGCCACAATTTTTAGTGAGGGGAAAGAGGGAGGGTCATTGTGGCTGAGACATGCCATAGTTTCTTGCGAGACTGGATTGGCTGAGATATGCCAATCAGCGTGCAAACTTTTGTAACATGTCTCAGCCAGATATGGGTTTGACTATTTTTCTATTTCTTTTTCAAGTCTGGCTTTTTGGAATTATTTCAGGGGCTTAGGGTAATAGGATGACATTAGAAATTGCCCACTGCTGGCTGGCATACCTTACACTTAGTGTAAGTCTGCAAGGCAGTGGTGTGCAGTTTTATATGTCATCCTACAGCCTGGCAAAACCCCCCAAATCAACAGAATGAAAAAGTGTTACCCCCCAAATCAAAAGATTGCCCCCCCAAATCAAAGATTGTACCTTAACAGCTGCTCTTATCCTTTCTTCTGCTTGCAGGGCTTGGTTGGGACGCATATTCCGCTTGATTGGTTTCTTTTTGCTGGACAGACCCGCCACTGGGCATACGCTCTGGGAAGGGCGCCCCGATCAGCGGCGCCGCCTTCGGCAATACACAGAAGATTAGTGTATGAGTGAACCTCCGTGCGCGCCGCGCCCCTCTGGCAGGACTGAGGACCCGGACGTGGACGAGATAACTGTTCAGCTGCGAGACTGCAACATTCGTGTGCGACTGTCTCCAGGTGGCAGAGCCTCTTCTTCACCAAGTGCTCAGGTTTTCTCCAGCACAGCTTCCTCTGCCGGAACTGTTCGGCCTAGAGCTCCTGGAGTTCGATTCTCGTCAGGACCTCGACAAGGTTGATTTGAAGCATCTGGATTCCCTGGCTGGACATCCCGAGCTCGTGTGGCGCGGACTATTCGTGCTGGTGTGGGGGCAAAGTGAGTGGGCAGCGCGCTGTCCCGCCTTCATCTCCAACAGTGCCTGCGAAGAACAGGTTCTACATTGCGCTCCGCACGGCAGCCCGGCCGGAGGGCTTCTGGACTGAGAGCTCCCGGACCTTCTTGCGAGATTTGGACCAGAAGACGAATCCCACAGCTTTGCTTCTGGGGCTGAGCTCACGGCATACTTGGCCGGAGCGGGCCAGGGATGGCCTCTCGAGTCCGCACCCTTGTGGGGAATACCTTCCAGGGCATCCTTGCCCACAGTTTTGCTGACAAGTGGAGATCCAGAATTGGCGTGCTGTGGTCGGACGGCGAACCTGCAGCAGAGTGGGCGGTCGAGATGGAAACTTCCCCGTCACCAAGCCTTGCGCGAGTCTACAGTTTTACCATGGTCTGCAGTGGGACTGTTCACCGACTTCAGTGGGTCCGAGCTGGAGAGGGACGTTTCTGCACCGGACGCTGCCACAGTTGCTGGTCTCACAGCTCGCGTAACAGCCGAGCTGGAGGCGCAGGCCGCCGCACGCACCCAAGCTATTGTTGCTCCCCCTGCCAAGCCCAGCACCATTGACTGTGCAGAGCTGGCTCAACTTGGACCTGCCCCGGAGACTGAGAAGGCCGAGCGAGAGGGACAGCGGGTTGGTGGAGGAGCCGCGCCAAAGAAGCCTCCCGATGCCCTGTCGGCCGCGCTCCAAGGACCAAGGAGGAGCCAACGAGTGGAGTTCGAGGGCAAGCGTACCTGACTACCTGGAGAAGAGAGTGGGGATCTCACTGTGGGTTACGGCAACTTTCTTTGCACATAGGTGGGCCGCTGCCCGGACCTCGAAGAACGTGGAGATGGAGGGGTGATCGAACAGATGATTCTGGATTCGGGCAGAGTTCAAGTAGGGTGGCTTTTGCCCGAACCCTTCTTCAACACGGCTGCGGTCCAGAAACGGTCGACACTGGGGCCATACGCGAAACTAGCATCTCCAGCTTGGGCGGCTGCAAACCTGGCGTTTCTGAAGGACCTGGACTTCTTAGAGTCGCGGGTCAAAACTGCGAAGGACAAACCGAGGCAGCAAGCAACGACTGAAGCGGCCGAGACTCCGGGCGAGGAGCCCAAAGCAAAAGCAAAGTGGAAGCCAAGGAAAGGGGTCAAGGGGGTTCCGAGACCTTCCAGTGAGTTTGAGTCTAGGAGGCAGTGTACAGCCCTGCCTTCGATCCTCAGTTTTGTTTTGGACGGCCTGGCCCGCAATGCCCTGACCCCTGTAAATCTCCTGCCTCTTGTGCCCAGCTTGTAGCCGAGGTGCGTGCGTTTCCACTGGGCAGGTGCCACAGAGGTCTTTCAGCAGCGCGGACCCTTGTCCCATCCCCAAGCACGAGCCTTATTCTTCGAAGGATCTGAATTAAGCCGGGGATGTCGCGTGTTTTTGCTGATTGGGTCTATGGTTTTCTCGGCGTTGCAGCTCGCGCACCTGTGTGCCTAGCCTCCTTTATAGCCCAGAGCCTCCATAGACCCCAGTGCCCCCGCCATCATCCTGGCGGCTTTGGTCTGGCAATATTCGCACTAAGCCTGGGGCAAGACGCAGACGCAAGATGCGCCTTCTGAGTGCAGCGTATGATGCACTTAGGGCTCTTATCCCCACATTAAACTGGTTGCTGCTTGGCTTCCCGCGCTCTCCTTGCCGCGAATGTCGGGCCGGAGCGCCCCTTTCTGCAGAGCAGAGCTTAATGTTGATTGGTTGCTTCGACATGTCGCGCACTTCCTTTCAACTCCTGACTTCGGTCCTGAAAGCTTGGGGCGTTGCAGCGGAAAGTTTGACCGGCTTGCGAAATTCATTCGGGAACTGCCGACTACCGAGTCGGAGGTGGACCTTGAGTTGCTTTTGCGTGACTTGCGCAGAGCTTTTGATCCGTGCAGCAAACCCCTTGCACCCTTTCCCAAGCATGATGATCCCGACCTTGAACGTGATGTGCCCGAACCTGCCACCACTTCCCCTGCCATGCCTCAGGATTCTGGCGCGAATCGATCGGCCGATCTTCAGGCCTGCCGACCTGTGGTTGCAAGTCGGGTTCGATGGAAGTACCCCCCAAGCTTTGATCCAACCCCTTTTCTCAGGGATCACCTTTCCCGTGCAGCCTTTGCAGACCCAACTGTGCTCCGAAAGCCTGTTGATTCTTGGCCCAAGGTTCCGAAGGCAAAGGTTCATGCCTCTAAAGCCGAGCTCATCAAGCTAGCGCTTTCTTGGGACAGGGTTGGGGCTTTAAGGATTTTCAGGGAAGACCGGATCCATGACATTAAGGAGTGTGTAGGTCTTTTCTGTGTTGCAAAAGACCAGGATTGGGATCGTTTAATTTTGAATCCGGTCGTGGTGAACTCTCGTATGCACACCTTGAATTCCTACACCAAACTTCTGGGGCACGGTTCGCAGTTGTGTCTTCTTCACATACCTCATGGCTCCGTCGCTCGGTTCTGCGCGGATGATCTCGCAGAATTCTAGTAAAGGTGTCGGACGAGAGAGCAAAAAGAAACTGTATCGGTATGGCCATGTCTCCTGACGACCTCAAAGCTTTCAAAGCGTACAACCCTCAGCAGCATTTTGGCAGGTGTTTCTTGGCGCTCGCTTGTCTAGCGGTGGGTGATAACCTTGCTGTTGAGCTAGCCCAGCAAAGCCACGTCGAGGTGTTGCGCTGTGCCGGGTGTATGTTGCCTTCCCAGGTTGTCAGCTTCAGGAGGCCATTCCCCCGAGGTTCTTTTTGCGAGCTCCTGTGTGTCGATGACCATTTGTCCGTACAAGTCTTGAGCCGTCGCCGTGCACAGTCCGGGTATGCCCTTCGTGACACTGAAGTTTTTGCACGCGCTGATGCAGCTTATCCTCGTGTGGGCCTGGTCCAACATGAGAAGAAAAAGAAGAGGAACCTCTCACAGGGTACCTTTTTGGGGGCCGATATCGATGGCAACATTGGCCTGGTTAGTGCACCGAGGGATCGCGTCCTAGTCTTGATGCTTTGCGCTGCCGAGGTCGCCTGCAAAGGAGCACTCTATTAGGGTGTTGGATACACGTTGCCATGTTCAGACGGCCTGCCTTGTGTGTTATCGACTCGGCCTTTAAGGACGCCGCTCGACTTCCTGCTACCAAGGTGTGTCGGCTTTCTCGCCGGCCCCGCAACGAGTTGCTCACCCTCAGTATGCTCGGGCCCGTGCTTCAAAGTGACCTTCGTGCATCCTGGTGCCCAAAGATCTTTTGTATGGACGCGAGTCCTGCTGGAGCTGGCCTGGCCTCTGCCGACTCGACCCCGGAAGCTGTGCGCGAACTGTGGCATAACTCTGAGCAAAGGGGCTACTGCACCAAGTTGGAAGCTCCGTCCTCTGCTCCCTTGTGGGAATTCGGGTTCGAATCCGAGGTTGTTTTCGACACCGATGTGCCGATTCAGGGTCCTGATCTTGTTCCCGTTCCGCCAGGTCTGAGCGAAGGGATCCTTTTTGATGCCATCGAGATTTACATGCGTGCTTCCAAAACGTTGATGTGCCCCGGGCGCCGGAACTTGTACGGAGCACTTCTTTGAAGCAAAGGCTGTCTGCCAGCTTCCCTATCCACTCAGGGTCTTCGTGAAAGGGGCGTGAAGGGCCAGGTGCAAACTCATCCGCGGAAAGCCCGGCAGAAAGGGCCAAGGAGCAGAAGTTGGCACTCAGTGGCAAAGTGGTGTCACTGCTACGGCTGGCGGCTAAACTGCCAGAGGCCTAAGGCAATCGGGTAACGGGCTGAGTAGGAGGCTACGCTCTGTCCAGGAACAGGAGCTTCCCCGAACACAGAAACAGCAGACGGCTTGCAACGGGCGTCAAAGGCAAGGATGGAGGCTTTCGTAAAAGTACCCTCAATTACAAAGTGCGGTTAGGTTGCAGAGCACGAGCAACCCTGTAGCAGGTCCAGCAACCAAGGTTTGTTGTGGAGCCACTGGCTGGCCTTGCGGAACGCAGCTCCAAAGCTGCACATGCACAGCCGCGTGATGCGAGCACCTAGGTCTAGTAGACGCTGAAAGCAGGCAAGCCGTTACATGGCGCTGCAACCCGGCTGCTCAACACTAAAGAATAAACCCGTGCGCAGGACTATACTAAAGGTAAAGGCAACCCAGCCTGGCCAACCGGTTGTGCAAGGCAGTGAGCTCATCCTTAGGATTGAAGCCGGCTGGGCACAGTTTTGACCTCAGGCGGGGAGGCCTCAAAGTGCCAAAGGCACGGGGGGCCGGCGTGCCACTCCCGGACAACACGCCTTAAGGCAAGCCCAACAAGCTCATGGAAGACGGCGTCATTTGCAAGGTCCAGAAAGCGTACACGAGGCCCCTGCGCATCCACGCCATCATGGACTTTGAGACCCAAAGCTGGTGTTCTTCTAGACAGCCGGGTCACGTTAGGGCTGCCGCCAAGGGACGCTCCAGTAGCCCGGCTCTTTGCCGTGTCCTGCAGGGTGCGGAGGTCTGTGCAGCGGAAACCTGCATGTCTATTCAGACGGTCCCTTCGGGCACACCTGTAGACCCCCCGTCTAAAGAGTTGCCGCTTTGGTACTCTGACCTCCTTCAAGGCCGAACCTACCGGTTTGAAGGGTTCCTGCTTGCAGGCAGATGGCTTCGGTTGCTTCTGCTTTTAGGGGGCGACATAGAACCTCATCCCGGTCCTCGCCAGCCAGTGCGTATCCCTCGTGGTCGTCCAGGATGCCTGTCCAGCCTTCAGGACTTTGCTGACCCCAGCATGGCAAGTTGACAAAAAGTGGCAGCACGCAGAGCCTGGCGAATGCCGCCCCGTCATGTCGGCTCCCATAGTCGAAGCAATGGTCGCAGTGGCTCTTGCTTGGGAGTGGCCTCGCTTTGCTTGTACCCTGCTGATAGGGTTCTTGTGCATGCTCCATCCTTCAGAATACCTGGCCCTCACGCGGGGCGACCTCATCCTGCCAGCTGACACCCTGTCATCTGACAGGATTGCCTATGTACATGTCCGCAACCCTAAGACTGCCAGGTTTGCTCGGCGGCAACACTGTCGTTTAGAGGATGTCTCTGTTCTTCGCCTGCTTGAAAGCCTTTTCGGCTCACTGCATTTCGATTCCAGAATTTACCCGGGCTCTAAAGCCACCTTTCGAAGCCAGTGGAATGCCATTATGAAGCAGCTCGGAGTTCCTTTCAAGAAAGTGGATAGAGGTGTAACCCCTGGGGTTCTCCGCGGCAGCGGTGCTACCTACCTCTATCTCGAAACGGAGGACCTGAGTCGTGTGGCTTGGCGCGGGAGGTGGGCCCGGCAAAAGACTGTGGAATTCTATTTGCAGGAGGTGGCCGCGCAGGTGATTTTGCAGAGACTCCCTGAGCCTTGCCGTCAAAAGATCAATGCTCTTCGACCGCTGGCCGCTAAACTCGTCCGCTGTATACCGACTGCCGCTCTCTGAGAGGCCAGGGCTCGTCTTGATTCTTGTCGCCTTCGGCGAAGCAACTTGAGGGTGGTTTAGGTTCGTCCCGGGGTACCCTAGGACCCGTGTGCCTCCTGTCAGCCTGGGCCAGGCCGGCCTACCTTGCCGTTTCTCGGCAGCTCTCGACAAACACGTCTTCGCAGGCGACAAAAAGGCGCGGCACTTGTGCTAGGGGTTTAGGGTTTAGGGTAAAGTTGGTTTGGATGATCTTGCGTGGAGGTACCTGAACGAGCTTCTAGTGTCACACTTCGTCCGCAAAAACGAGAGCTGACTGACCCAATTGAGAGTGATTTGATCTTTGCTGCAGTGCGAAAAATCTGTTGCAAAAAGCTGAAGAAGATGCCAAGACACCTGTGTCAATTGCTTTCGTGGTTTTGTTTTTGAAGGTGACGGCGCGCCAGCAAGGGGTGGATCTTGCGTGTACTGCTCCAGCAGGGGGTCATCTTGCAGAAGGGATGTTTTTGTTTGACGTTTTGCGACCAGCAGTGCTACGAACAGATGCCCGAGAACATGATGTTTTCTTTCTGAAAGTTTACACTTTCTGCAGCTATGTCGGCCTGAACACGTGATTTTGTTCTTTCCATGGAAGCGGTTCTGCGACGGAGTATTGGGCTTGTGCCGCTCCCTCCGCACCCACCGGCGCGAGCTTCAAATGGCACAGTGGCACGTTTGAATTTTACTCAGACCCATTGGCAAAGCTGGCAATTTTCAGTTTGTGCTCCTGTTGTGGCCCTGGCCAGCTTCAGCAGTCGGTCGAGCCGCGTGGCACGAGGACTGTGGATGACTTATTCTAGGCTTATTATGATGTTCACTTGCCCAGGATATTCTTGAAGCTCAAGCTTTGAAGCCAAAACGCCATGCAGAGAGGATACAAATAGTAGCTTCTCCAATACACAGGCATTATAGGGTTATCTAGGGAATATCGAGGGATTTTAGAGGGATTATCGACGGATTTTATCAGGTTTTCTAAGGTCTACAGAAGGCTTTCCTAGGGGCTTTATAAGGACCATGTAAGGTTTACATAGGGATTCCACAAGGATTATAAAAAAGCTCTATGGGGATTGTAGGGGGTATATAGTGCTGATTGAATGTTGAGGACGGTGCCGAGTCCATGCGGCAGCCAGCAACAAGACAGTTGCGAACAAACTATCACTTCCACCTGGGAAGCCTGGTAATGCATTTCTTGATTTACTTAAGTATGTGCTCTGGTTGCATTGTTTGTTGTGACAAAAAGCGTGGATTAAAACGCCCAGTCTTAATCTTGCCCACTCGAACTCATTGCAATAAGTTTGGTTCGTGTGTCACGAATAACGTACGTCGGGTTTGTCGTGGGGCCAAGGTGAAAGACCCGGACGGCTTCATCGCAACGCAAGTCAAAAATTACGGGCCTGTATTCCAGATGAATTATTTCGGGCGCAAGACTGTAATTGTTGGTGGTGCCGATGGTGTACTGGGGTTCACTAGTGCAGAGAAGGAAATCACCAAGTCGGCTCTGCCAGACACTTTCTCCCAGCTGCACACAGCGTATGGTACCATGAACCAAGCGGGCAAGATCCACAAGTCTAGTCGTGTGAATTTGATCAGCGCTGCTTTGTGCGAGGAGGCGTTTGATGCTTTCTTGCCTGTAATCCGCAGGCGTTGCGTTGACTTCCTGGACTCTTTGGAGCCCTTTGGGCCGTTTTTGGCAAGAGATGCATTTTCAATCAAAGCCATATTCCCAAAGGGGAGATGCTCAAAATACGATCCCCTCACGGGGCCCCAGAATTCCTAGATTCCTCGATAATCCCCATATACCTTAGCTTCTCGAGAAAATCCATATGTTTGTTGAATCTCTCAATCATACCCAGGTCGAGGGGGACGTTCTTCCCGGCCCAAGAGTTCAAAGACTGGAGCGTGGCACTTTTTGCAGAGCTCTTCACGGGAATCCCCTTTGATGATGAGATGAAGAAGCTGGGTTGCTCTTGGGGAACTTGGGTTTAGGGTACGGGGTTCAGGCTTTAGGGTTAATCGTCTCAAGGAAACTGTGTTTTTGCATTGAATATCTTCATCCTGGTATCTCAACCCTCTGGCCTATGATAGTGCCCTTATATGTCAACTGTAACCCACCGCTACGGTTACTTAACAGCAACCAGGAGGCTGCTCTATACCTACAATGAAGGCCTTTATGGCCCGGCAACCCTAAACCCTCAGCCCAACCACAAGGCTGCTCTATACAATGAAGGCCCAACCAGGAGGCTGCTCTATACCTACAATGAAGGCCTTTATGGCCCAGTAACCCTCAACCCTAAACCCCAAACCCTAAACCCAACCAGGAGGCTGCGCTATACCTACAATGAAGGCCTTGATGGCCCGGTAACCCTCAACCCTACACCCTAAACCTAACCAGGAGGCTGCTCTATACCTACAATGAAGGCCTTTATGGCCTGGTCCCCCTGAAGCTTCCCTTCACAGCTTTCGGCCGCGGATTCAAGGCGAAGGACTTACTTAGCCAATAAGAAAACGTTAAACTTTTTGGGCTTCCTTATTGGGTCTCTATAATCAAGGTTAAACTTTTTGGGCTGCTTTATTGGGTGTCTATAGTAAAGTTTGAACTTTTTTGGGCTTGGTCATTGGGGAAGAGACAGGACGAACTGGTGAAGAGGCTCCGGAAACAGATGCTGGGTTGCTATTGGGTTTAGGAATTGAAGGGTTTCCTTTAAAGGGTTTTTGGGGCTAGATAGGGTTTATGTGTTTTTACGGGTATAGGTACCGAAACTGAAAATCAAATGGAAAACAACGGAAAATACAATAGACATTGGGTTAAAGCGGGTCGAAACAGGGAAGCAAGGAACATAGATTGAGGTATCACAATATGGGTCTAGATAGCAGATAGCATGTTAAGCCCAAAATGGTAAGTTAAGGATAAGTTGCTTTAAATTCTTCAACAGCAACCCAGGATTGAGGACCTTAAACGGACCGGCCAGATAGAGGAGTTTTGCTTTGCTGTGATCGGGTGGACCTGACACTAAACTCTCAACCTTAAGCCAACACCCTAAACCCTAGATCCGCGTTTCGGGATGTCAGGATTCAGAGCGTCAGAATGGGTGCAATAAATCTCAGTGCAGTCCGCAGGAAGGGAGAATCTTTTAGTCAAAAAGACGAGGACCAGGGGTTTACCCTGAACCCTGAACCCTAAAAAGCATTACAATATACCATGCCGCAATAGACTATAATATAGTAGTTTCCATTTCTTTTCCATCATCCCAGTATAACCCCAATATCTACCCTATTATGATACAGTAGTTTCCATTTTCTCTTCCAGTATCCCTTTATAACCCCGAACCCAAACCCTAAACCCTAAACCCTAGATCGTAGTTTACATTTTTACATGTACCCCCCATATATGAATTTCAATAGTTCAAGGGGTTGCAACCTAAGTTCAGGGCTCAGGATGTGTAACCTTGACACTGTCTCGTCAACTCCCATCTCTATCCTATAGTCACTCTTAAGTAGATAGAATATGGGGTATATGGGATCTTATTATAATGTGCCCAAAGCCATATTCTATCGGCTTAAGGGGGACTATAACCCTAAACCTCAACCCCGAAACCCTGTAATCCTGCAGGGTTTTGGATTTAGGCATGGTTTAGGGAAGCCTGAACCCTCAACTCCTAAACCCTAGAACTGGAACCATACACTAAGCTGGACAGCTACTGAAGCTCCAGAATCACCAGGAGCCACAATATGCGGCGCTTAGGCGGCTGATGAAGAGCCTACTTCTTCACTTGAGACTTAGGGCTAGGGGTTTGAGGGTTTTGGGGGCTTTGAGGTTTAGGATCTTGGGGTTTAAGGGGTTGGCTGGTCTTGAATTCGGGAGCTTCGGCATACGGGCCAACACCGTCATAATTATATGTCCATCAACTGAGCAGCCTTTTATTTGGGGATATTATGGTACCCATTATACAGTAAGATTATATCCTCCTTTTGGGGTATAGTATTTTATATAAGGAATATACTCTTACTAGGTTCAACCACCAGAAAACACAACTCAACTGAGGTTTTAGGCAGAGACAGGGATCAGGGTCCTTGCACGATGGGTCAGCTGTTTTGAGAGATTTCTATGATGGAGATCTTGTTCATGAGTGAGCTCATGAGGCTTCCTGATGACTGGATGTGGCCACGACCCTAAACCCAAAATCCGAAACCCTAAACCCTATTGCAACTGTGTCGAGCCCTTCCCTGCCTAGAAAAGCTTCTCTTTGCCTGTATTTCTTGCCACCGTTGTTTTCACATGAAGCTGTCGTTCCCCAAAATCGCATTATTTCTATGCTTCGAGCCTGTGGGGGATCCAGAGTGTTGTAATACATTACAATATGCAGGAATATAGGGTTTAGGGTTTAGGGTTTAGGGTAATATACTACATTATAGTAGAATATAGTACATAATGTATTTTTGTTGGTCTTTTCGGAAGTCAGATCTGATTTGGACATGCGAGTCGGTCTTAGCGAGTTGCTGCAATGTTCACAGATGACAATGAGTGTCACAACCTGACCTAGACCTTCATAGGGTTTTAGGGTTTAGGGTTTAGGGTATATATTACTATATTACATTAGGGTGTATATTGGGGTTATATAGGGATAATGGAAAAGAAAATGGAAACTACAATATTATACTGGGGTATGGGATACCAAGCTATGAGCAAGTGCTAGGCTTTGCAACAGGCAGGGAGCAAAGGGCGAAATTTTCCATCGTCCCTGGGGCATGAATCATGAGTGGTCTGGAAGCCCAGTCTTCAGGCTCATTCAACTTCGGCTAGGAAAGGTAGCATGCATACTGATTTGTAAGGACTAGTACCGTCAACCCCCCAACACCCCAAAACTACAAAACTCTCCACGCCAGCAACCTCAATCCCGAAAACCCTTGAGCCAAAAACTCTTAGCCCGCAGAAGCCAAAAATTCTACAGCTCTCAACCCCCAAGTACTCCAAAACAAAATCTCCCCTAAAGTCCTAAACCCTAAACGAGATTCCCAACCCTAAGCCCCAAACCCTAAACCCGACCCTAAATCCTCGTGTTCTAAGGAGCAAAGATGAGAATGGTGAGCCCTGGAGCATGGATCATGTGGCCACTTCTGCCATGATCATGGTACCCTTGCCTTCGCTTCTGTTAGAGTTTTAGGGTTTAGGGTTTTAGGGTTTAGGGTTCAGGGTTTAGGGTTGGGGTTAAGGTTCCCAGTCGGGGTCTTTTTATGTTCCTTTGACCGTTGACCCTAGAACCCATATGCACAAATGGACAAAGACCCAAGAAGCAAGCCAAAAACCCACACCTTAAAACCTAAACTCAACAACCTAAACGCGAAACCCTCAATCCAAGTTCCCAACCCTAATTCCCAAATCCCTTGCCTCCGAAGCGGAAGTCCTGAACCCAGTTCCACCATCTCCACCCAACCTTCGGTGCCCCTGCACCCCAAAGCCAAGGCGATCCAGCCGTTCTGTTCCTTCAGGGTTTAGGGGATGGGGGGAGGGTGAAAGGGGAGGGGTACGGGTATCTTAATCAAGAGCACACAAGCTTTAATTACCCCCTCGGTGATATGGCTAGCCATGCTGTTAGCTATCCAGTATCTTGTTCTTTTTAGACGATGCTAGGCGACGAGGACGTTAAACAAATAATCTAAGAACCTAAGTGGAATCCCCAAATTTCTCAAATTACACCCCGAACTTCAAGCCCCCGAACTCTGAACTGGTAGACTCCAGGTTTGGGGCGCCTACGTGGAGCTTGCATCTTTGCTTGCCGACGCCATCTACCTCACCGCCTCCTACCCTGAGGCTCGGGAAATTGGGTTTTCCCCAAAATTTGCATGATATGCTTAGTAGCTGGGTAGGTACACTTTACATTTTTGGGGTTCTCATATTCCCATTAGAACAAAACGTGTACACTTTTTTGGGGCCAGGGAACTCAGCAACTAGGTATGTGTCCCAGATTGAAGTCCTTCTTCGCCAGGCTCCGGAACGTTTTTATTGGAACAATGGGTAGGGCTGGACACGTACAGTTTTGAGGGTGGTTCGGTGCGTGCGGTCAGGTTTGAAGATTTGATTTGGTTTCAAGGTTTAGCTTTTTTTGGGGTTCAGGTTTTGAGGTTTTGGGCTCTGAGAATTTTGAGTTGACGGTTCCAGATTTGTTTTCACTTCACGATGCCTCAAGCGCCCGTTAAGGGTTAGGGTTCAAGGCTCCATCTTCTCGAGTGTAACCGTGAAGGCTTGCATTTGTAAGGATTTAGTACAAAGCTCTCAGAGTTGAAGATTGATGCGCATCAAGCCTGCAAAGACTCGATTGCAAGGTTCATGGGAGGTCCAAAGTGCCATGATAGGGCAGATGAGTAAGTCTACTTGCAAACAAAGTTAGGACACACGTTCCCGTAACTCTGCTCAGTTCCGAGCTCCCACAAACGTTCAAGCAGGGCAACAAACCCCAACCCCCGAACCCCGAACCTTAAGGCTTGAACTCTAAAATCAAAACCCTAAGCCCGAAGCCTTCAACCCAAAACCCCAAACCCTATCGGCCAGGCTCAGAAGCCATGTCTGCCTTTGGATAAAAAAGGATGGCTCAAAGCCAAAAATAACATGGGCCAGTGAGGTGCGCGAGAAGGCCTTTGCGGAAGCGTCTGGGGCCCCAGCAGCCACCCAAAGCGAGTTGAAGAAGCTCCGCTACCTCCAGGCCAAAGCGGTTTAGGGTTTAGGGTTTAGGGTTACCTGCAAGGGGTCCTACGGTAGGGATATCTAGGTGTTGTCGTGAGTGGTCCTCATGAAAGACTATATGGGTGGTTGTCAAAATTATGGTCCCTTTTTGGACTCCGATTATAATACGGCACCTACTCGTTAGGGTACCCAAAAAGGGACCATAAATTTGACAACCACCCACATGGGTGGACTCAGGGTTTGCGGCTTCATTTTTGGCATTGCACTTTGGCACGCAAAGGGGAGTGAGGGAGGGAAGATGGGGACAATTCTAAGGGGTCATACGGGGGGCATTACAGGGATCCACTCCCCAATTCCCCTTGAACCCTAAAACCCTAAAACCCTAAACCCTAAACCTTCTGCACCAGTGAGGAAGTGAGGAACTGCGGGTTCAGGGTTAGGCATGTTTAGGGATAATCAGGTCTTGCAAAATCCCAGCGTCTAATGCATAACGGGTTACTTGGGTTTTTGAGTTGTGGGTTTAGGGGATGAACGTTCTTTGTGCAATAACTTTCTGTCTTTCTTTTTTTAGTATGGCTCGCCCTAAGCCCTAAACCCCTAAACCCTAAACCTTAAACCCTTAAACCCTAAACCTTAAACCCTAAACCCTAAACCTTAAACCCTAAACCCTAAACCTTATCTCTGAGCTCTAGGGTTGGCCTGTCGCGGGAGGTTCTCTTAAGTTCATGGTCTTGCTCGCGGTTCAGGCTTCAGGCTTTAGGGTTTTGGGGTTTGGGGTTTAGGGTTTAGGGTATTGGAGTTGCAGGGGTTTGGGGTTTAGGGTTTGGGGTTGTAGGGTGCAAAGTTTGAGGCGGCTTACCGTGCTCGGAGTTTCGGTTGCCATGGATGTGGGCTGTAGAGGTTTAGGGCCTAGGGTTTCATGCTTCGAAGTGCGAGTGGCACTGAGGTTGGGTACTTGAGTCAAATTTGTAATTTCTTCGGATTTCAGGACTAAGTCAAAGGACTTGTGGTTAAGGGTTAGGGTCTAGGTGTGAATCTCCATGATGTGGGGCCCTGGATTTTGATCATCGGGTAGACCCCTAAACCCTAAATCCTAAACCCAAAACCCTGAACCCCGGTTTCCAACCTCTGCAAGCAGCAGCTTGTCGGCGCAAGGACATGTGAAGTGTGTAGCTTTTAGGGTTCAGGCTGCTGCCATTACATGGGTTGAGGGTTTAGGTTTCAGGGTTTAGGGTTTCGTCAGGCAAATTTTGATTTCATCAGCGCTTTGGAAGGATCCATCCAACACACTTCCATAGGCCATTTCCTGAGACATGTTTCAAATTGTTACTGCCAAGGTAGTTTCGACCCAACAGTCCTTGCCTCAAACCTAAAATCAGAAAATTTGACTCAACAGCCTGGTGCCCTGAAGTCATGATTTTGGAGTTTGACAGCCTGTTCCCCAAAACCTGCAGCCGCAGAAAACGTCTAGCGCTTTCCAAGCCCCAAACCTCAGAGCCCTACACGTTGCATGTTGAAACTTTGAACCTACAGCCTGAACTCTTTCAACTTTCAAGCAATTCTATTGCATACACTTCCATTCATTTCAGTCTTGAACGGTTGAAAAGTTTAGCATCTCCAAGTCTGCATTCATACTGTGTTTTATATTCCAACTTCACCCAACGCCATGAGTGGTGTAAGAAGACGTGAGGGCATCCTCGATGAGACGCTCCGTGTGAAGCCTCCCAGTGGTGGCGGTTTTCGATTGGCGGAGGCCTGACATTCTTGTGTATGTAGCTCTCGGGAAGTAGAGTCTAAGCGTTGGAGCGTCTCGGCACATTCCTCATGTCCCCTAAACTACATTCTATCTACGTGCAGAGGACCCTACATTCCTGAGTTTATGGCACAGGGGTTTTGGATTGAGCTAGTTTCTCGTGTAGAGGGTCGGCGGAGGTATGGAGGTCTGCCTGAGAGGCATGTGGGCGCGTGTTTCCATGGATACGATTAGCGTTATGAAGCCTTTGTTGTTCTGGCACTGCATATGACATCAGTTTTGATTACTGGCACAGCTGTTCTGATTTCTGGTTCCGCTTCTGAACATCGCTGTTTTCAGCGATTTTTTTCCTTCTTGTCTGGTGCCATAGGGGTGCCTTTCAAAATGGTCCGGGGGAATTCCCATGTTGGTGTTCCAGAAGAGTCCATATCATCCTTAGACAAAATGGTGAACCAATTCTCACCCCAACTTCTAAATCCGCATCTCCAGCCGCAAGCTTCTGTCAACTGGTAGCAGTGTCCAGAATCGGGGGAACCCCAACATAGACCCAAACATACCACAATCCTTCATCTGGGGACTCTGACAAAGGGCCTCATTTTTTTTTGAAAGCCTTAATCCCAAACCTTAAACCCTACCAGGAAGACCTTGAGATTGCCGGATACCGCATACCCAAAGGCCGCGGCATTCTGCTTAGGCAAGGGGCATATTGGGGTGTAGGGTTAAGGGTTTAGTACAGGGTTTAGGGTTTACGGATGCAAGAAATGGACCCTCTTGTGGGATGATGAGTCCGTGTTAAATGTTTTTTACCTTTAATCCCTATGTATATCTTTTTAGCCATGATAACTAATCTTTATACCATCATCCCCAAAGCCTATACTAGTCTATACTGGCAATCTAATCCCCCATCATCACTCCCTGACACTTAGCTTTAACCTTAGACCTTCAAATTTTTTGGGATTTCATAATGTTCCTATTACAGGCACAAAATGTTTTTTGGGTAGGGGTGCTAAGTGCCAAGGTGATCATCCACGGCCTGCACCGTTTTTTGGGTTCCGGGGAGCCCTGTACTAATACTTGGTATAAAGGTTTATACGGCGGTTATATAGGGAGAAAATGGAAACTTACTATTCAGGGTTTAGGGTTTATGGTCATTTATGTTGGCTGAAGCCTAGAAGTCGAAAGATTAATGTGGCGGGAAGGGTGTTGTAGGTGCATACTAGACTATAGAGTTGTCCTCCACGTATGCCCGAAAAGCTGTACAGCAACTGATCTGTCATACCTAAGCCACATGAGAACTAGATGCCTGCTTGTCATGGAGGCTTCGTGGTCTCCGCTGATCCGCGCATCACAAACATGGAATCTCGGCATGCACGCATGTGAGCCATAGCGTAAACTCCTTAAAGGGGGTTATATAGTGCCTAAACCCTAAACCCTAAACACCGTGCTGCATGCTGTTTTCTCGCTTTGGGCAGACAGTGTGATTGATGACACTTGCTTGATTGCAAGGTATGGCATGGATGTTTTGGCACATTTCCAAGATAGGGTTCCGCTAGCTGGATCTATGGAAGACGCGGACGGATGTTGCTGAGGCTGTGGGATGAAGGAAGTCTTTCAGGGTTGTGCATCAGCTGAGTAGTATTTTATGCCCCACATCTTGTGTGGGGTTCCAGTTGTTGATGTGGCGTTGCCCGGCACCCGCAGCGTGCTCTTCCGTCGCGCAAACATTTTGGACGCGTTCATGTGAAGTGATAAATTGCGCTCTCGCT